TAATTGATAAAGCGAAATTACCCGAGGGTTGAAAAGACCAACAACAACGATGATAAGAAATCCCCACGCAAAGCATTCAAATCCAAACATATGGATTTTGAGGAACAATTCATGAGTTCCAACAGCAAGAGAAAGACCACAAATCACATCAAGGAGTCGGGTAAAAAAAGAAGAAGTGCAGACCATGACCCACAGGAAGAATCAAGCACATCAAGGGCAACGAAACTGACACATACAATGAACGAAGTTGACAGCAACAATAAAGGTTATACGGATGCAGTAGAAAATTCGTACAACATTGAAAATGATGAAGATAATAATGAGAATGAAACAGTGGTAAACGAAGACGGTGATGAGAGTTGTGACACTGAATAATTTTTATTATTCTTTATATTTTTTTTTTCGCAATAATCAAATTTTTTTTTCATTCCTATTTTAGAGGTTGGCACCGCTCAAAAATTCTTTAACCGATTAATTAACCGTTAATATTAAAATTAAGAGTTAACCGGTTAACCAGTTAAATTAGTCACGTGGAATTTTTTAACTGGTAAATTCGATCGTTCTTTACTTACAAAATAATCACGCGCCTGTTGAATTTTATTATTATACACTTAATAAATGCTAAATGATTACAGTCAAACCTCGCCACAGCGGATTCATGGTTACAGCCAAAAAAATCCGTTATTATTATTATTATTATTATTATTATTATGACAAGAATCCGCAGCGGCAAAATTGGTAATAATACAAAGCCCTCTCTCTATACCGAACCCTCTGTCCATTATATGCATTTTTCTGCTTTTGTTCATTATAGGGAGAAATTAATTATAAAAAAATTGAATCGGAGACGGGCGACAAAAGGGAAATTCGTTATAGAGAAATTTACTTGGTGTTCGTTATAGAGAGGTTTGGTATAGTGCAATAAATTAATAAACTAAATACAGAAATAAATAAATGAATAAATGAACAATACATACGGAAATGAAAATTATTTGTTGAAATAAGATGTAATATTTGGTTGTATTATCTAATAGTTTCACTTTTTTCTATGGTTTAAATGCTTTAAATTCTTTACGATCTATTTCTAAATCACCTTGTTGAAGAAAATTAAAAGCTATCTCAAAGGAAATTACGACATCTTTCGTTGAAACTTTAGACATAGTGTTACTCTCAACAACTATTATATTATTAACATCATTTTGAAATCTCTTCGACTATATTTCTTGAATTTTCAATTTCATTATTAGATATTTCATTTTCCAAAGGGAGAATTGCAGTTTTCCTCTATCAATTTTGGTAATTTGGACATTTATATGTCACGTGAATCTGCTGTAATATAGAAAGACCCCATCAAAAATCCGTGGAACAAATTTATTATTAGTGGTAGAATCCGCTATTATTATGACAAACGTTTTAATTAATATTAATAAGGGGACAATACTTAAATCTGTTGTAACAAGAAATGTGATGTGACGAGGTTTGACTGTAATATATAAAAAAAAATTAATAAATGGTGGTTAACCGGTTAAAAAAATATCTTGACCGGTTAACGGTGCCAACCCCTATCCTATTTGTATTTTTTTTTCAATTTTTTTTTCAGAAAAAAAAAATTCTGAAATTACCACCCAGCGAAAGCAAAAAATTCCTTCCCAAAAAATTAGGTTTAAAAAACAAAGATTTTTCGGTTCCAATTGCAATTGCAACGCATTGCTTTGCAATTCAATTCAACGCAACTCAATTTCAATGTAATTGCAATTGCAACCTGTTTTTTATAAAACAAAACATTCGCCGTACGACACAATTTTTATTGCTAAATATTAATATGGTGAAAACGTTGATCGCACCAAAAACCGAAAAGACCAGGCGCGGCTAGACGCAAAAGGAGACAATCGGCGAGAAAACTGCACGGAAGTCGCACGACTTGCGAGTTTTGGAAGGAGATCGTGACACGGCAAATGTTAAATCTTTTTTTGTTAAATAAAGAAAATTTTTTTACATATCAATATAAATATATAATAATAACAAGATTAAGTTAAACGTCGCAATGAGTGAGAAGCGGCACGTGCACGAATTTATCGTAAGTATTTTAATATTATATATAATAAACAAAGCAATAATAATAAAACAAAAACGACGGATTGTTTTTCTTCGCAGCAGGAGGAGTAGTAAACGCCAATTAACTAAATATTAATATTAAATTGCTTGTTAAAACTTTTTTTTTTTTTTTAAAAAAAATTACAAATGTAGAAAAGATTGATTTGTTCCACATAATAAATTTTACCGCCTTATCAAATTTTGCAACCCTTCACTTCAGTATTAACTTTTTCCAATATTTTATATTCTTCTAATGCTGCTTTAGAGACCTTTAATTGAGCATGGTCAAAACCGAGAATATGCAAGTTTTTTAATGACTAATTGTAACGAATATTCGTTATTCAGCAAATATGTTCACATCAACATTCAATAACGCGGTTGGGCTTGTTTTTATATATGGCGCTTCACTAATTACACTGTCAATGGAGGGGATGGTCTTAATGAAGCACGCAAATAAAAAAAATGGATGAAATATTTTTTTTTTAATTAGTTATTTTTGTTTTTTTTTTTTTTTTTTTAAACGAAAAAATATTATGAATTTGATCAATCAATTAACACTCCTTCATTTTATATTCATTTATTACTCGAATTTAGAAGGCATTTAATTCTATTTTAAGAAATTTATTTTTATAAATTAATTAAAATGTTAAACCATAAGTTTATCTATCATTATATAAAACAAAGGGACGGAAGGGATGTAATTCATAGCCAGATTAAGCTTTTCTTTCATAGAACTTTCATCTTTTTAAAAAAAAATTTTGGCAACGCTTATCTTTAACTATATATATTAAGAATATTGGCGAAATACTTTGCAGGGCGAGGAATTATTTCGTTGCATTTGACGAAATGTGACGAAATTGACGTTGACCAATTATACAACCAAATTTTCATAACCAGTGATCAAAGGTATGGCCAAATATTGAATTTTATATATAACAGTATAGTGGTGTCACCAAAAAAATGATTACCTTTTATCTTATCATCATGATAAAAAAAAAAATGAGAATAATCACCATGGTAAATATCCAACATTACACTACATAATGAATTGTTATATAAAATACCATGTATAAAATCATTAAAACCCTAGGTTCTCAAAAAATGTACTTATGGCATATTCGTCGATTTTGTTTGAACCTCAAAATTCAGTACGGCATGATCATAACGTTATGAATACCTTATAATCCATTAGTTTTGAGGTAGTGCCGTTGATTTGACGGGCTATTGAATAATAAAATAGTTTTTTTTTTTTTGTAGAGTAAATAAATTTTTTTAGGGTTAATCTGACCAGTTACGCATACACAATAAGATATACATGTAAGCTCATTAAGTCGGATGCAACAATCAATTGCTTAAAATAAAAAAATGACCGACCTATCGAGTTTAAATGTGTGTAGGGTTTGAAAGAAGGCCAAAAAATAAATCGGCTGTATGGTAATTACGTACTACCAGCAATTTTCCCATCTCTATCCTTGTCTGAAGTTGATGCATGATGTTAATATATTGGCTGAATGTTCGCACTATATAAAACAATCAATATATGTATAGGAATCAATCAGCAAGTATCACAAATATCTGAATTGATTGGCTAAATTAATTTCGTCGATTTCTTCAAAAGATCCTTGGCGATAAATATAAATTTCGTCATGTACAATTTCGTCAACCATTCTTAATTAATTAATTTATACACAACACAATCATTTGAAATTTCCTTTTTTTCGAAAAATTCCTTTTTTTAAACAAATTCTACAACCTTTTTAAAGTTAATACGTCACATTAAATTAAATTCATCATATTCTTTCGTTAATTAATGAAAACTTTTAAACTAGACAAAAAATCCCGTGATTTTGATGAAAACTTTGAGCTTAGTAAAAAACTTCAAAATTCCGTTGAATCATGAATTAAGCAAGTCCATTTAAAATATCTTGAATATATATACACGGCGAGACTGCGTTAAAAAGCATATTAATATACTAACACTTAAATCATTTAAAAGTTGACAATAATAATGCCCGTTCCAATCCTTCTTTAGCACGTAATAATAAAAGTAAGTTACATCATTTTCCAAACTCGAGTATTTAAAGTTACAGATAGTGATGTTAGCCGGCTTAGCCGGCTAAAAAAATTTTTCTTGACGTTCATTTTACGTCTGGGATTTTAGTGCAGAATTCAATGGCATAGACATTTAGTTGAGATGGATCCACTTAGAATGACAAAAAAAACATACATTTACTCAAAATACAAAATACAAAATGTATATCGTAGCAGGATAAAAGTCATATTTTAATTCGAATTATTATTATTCGTTCTATTCGAATTATTCGTTTTTTTATTCGTTTATTCGAATAAAACTTTCAATATAATTCGAATACTCAAATTCATAATGAAAAAAAACAAATAATTTGAACCATTAAATGCGAGATATTATAATAACAATAGTAAATAATAATAATAATAATAATAACGTTAGTAGTAGTAATAATAATACCGGCAAGCTTAGTATTAGTACCAACGATTTATTTGATCAAGACATTTGCTAAGCGATTTATTTGGCTAAGCCATTCATTCGTCACATTATTACACTTAATCGCGTGGGGTGCGAATAACAATTCCCTAAATATTAATATAAAGTATTAAATGACGTTTATTATTATAAGAAATTAAATAAGAAATATAAGGGATAAATAAATAAAGATATTAATATAAATAGAAATAAAAAGATTCGATTCGGAATTAGGGTATTTCGACCAACAAATCAGCTTTAAATCCTAATTCCAATAACAACTGCATGCAATTTGAAAGCAAAAATTCGCTTTCATTTTTTTTTTTATAAATACTCTTACAGTAATCCTATATAATTTGAAAATCAAGAAAAACTTGACAAAAATTATCTGAATAAATCAAAATGAAATTCAATATTTCTCTTCTCTTTTTGATTATCTTTGCTGTCATGGCTTTAGCAAGCCCAACTCATAACAATAATTTGGTGAAGAGATGTACTTCATTTATTATTATATTTACTATTACAATAATATCATTATATTTGTATAATTGTTTTTGAAAAATTACTAACTATTGGGTTTCATTTGATTTTAAATAATAAATAGCCGTGTAAGTATTTTTGTACTATTTATTATAGTCAATATCATTATTTTTGAATAAATATTAATTATTGATTTTCATTTTATTTTAAATAATAAATAGTGTAAGTATTCTCATCATTTCACCATTAATATCATTGTTTTTGAAAACATATTAACTGTTGGCTTTCATTTTATTTTAAATAATAAATATAGAACGTAAGTATTCTCATCATTTCACTATTGTTACAGTCAATATCATTGTTTTTCTGAAAATATTAACTATTGGTTTTTGTTTTATCTTAAATAATAAATATAGTGTGTAAGTATTCTCATCATTATTATTACTACAGTTGATATCATTGTTTTTCTGAAAATATTAACTGTTGATTTTCATTTTATCTTAAATAATAAATAGGAAGTAAGTATTCTCATCATTTCACTACTAATATCATTGTTTTTGAAAACATATTAACTGTTGATTTTCGTTTTATCTTAAATAATAAATATAGGCTGTAAGTATTCTCATCATTTCACTATTATTACAGTCAATATCATTGTTTTTGAAAACATATTAACTGTTGATTTTCATTTTATTTTAAATAATAAATATAGAATGTAAGTATTTTTATCACTTCACTATTATTACAGTCAATATCATTGTTTTTGAAAACATATTAACTGTTGATTTTTGCTTTATTTTAAATAATAAATAGTGTGTAAGTATTCTCATCATTTCACTATTATTACAGTCAATATCATTGTTTTTGAAAACATACTAATTGTTGATTTTTGTTTATTTTAAATAGTAAATAGAAAGTAAGTATTTTTATTATTACAGCCAATATTATTCTTGAAAAATATTAACTGTTGTTTTTTGTTTATTTTAAATAATAAATAAAAGGTAAGTATTTTTATCATTTACTCCCATTACCATTGTTTTTGTAAACATATTAACTGCTGATTGATTTTCATTTTAAATAATAAATAGGCAAGTATTTTTATTGATTACTATTATTACAGCTTGAAAAATATTAACTATTTGATTTTCAATTTATTTTAAATAATAAATAGGCAAGTATTCTTAACATTTACCATTATTACATTCAATTGTTTTGAAAAAATATTAACTGTTGATTGATTTTCTTTTTATTTTAAATAGAAAATAGGCTGTATTTGCTCTTTGGCTCTTTGATAACTTCATTTATCTCTTTTACTTTTTTTACTTTCATCTTATTTTTTATTGTTGGTTATAATTTTTACGTTACTTAAGATTCATGCAAACTATAGTGTTTATATTATAACATAGGAAGCGAAAATAAATAAAACAGTTCATACACAATAAGTGTTTATTATAATTTGAAAAGATTTATATGTGTCAATTTAAATGGGAATGAAAATGAATAAAGTTACATCCGATAAAAGAGTTAAATAATGATATAGTGCGGATCATCTATACCCAAAAGTTAAAATTTTTGAAAGATTATGTGATCCAAACATTGGATTTTAAAAAAACCACCACCATTCAATTCAGTTTTAAAAAGGGAGTCTATTTTTCTTTTCATGCATCAGGAAATTTTTTTAGGGGATAAATATTGAGATACATTATTTATCGATATTTATCTCAATAAAAAAATCGAAAATTAACGAAATAAGATAATTTTCGATAAATTAACTTACGATATTTAGTATCATCGAAATTAATTACCAAGATAATTAACGATAAAGATAATATATGAAATTAATCACCAAGATAATTAACGACAAAGATTATATACGAAATTAATCACCAATACTAAGATAATTAACGATAGAAAGATTAACAAATTGTTTTGTTCCCGCAAGTAGAAATTTTGTAGTTACGAAACAAAATTAATTAATTCGTTTTTTACGTTTTCTAGCGTCTTAGCACTTTTTTTAATTCAAACATGGTGTTCCACTAATGCTTAAAATTCTTTCCTGATATTTAATTACAGTTATTCTTTATCGGCATTTTACATTTCCTAATTCATTGTAATTTATTTTCTTTTCTTTATAACATTCTCTTTTTTTTTTAATTTTTTCTAGACTTTATTTTGCAAAACTTTGATCTTATAACGATCACTTGTTTTGACGTTTCTTCCTTCTTGCATTATTGCAATTGTTCTTCCATCAATGATCCTATTATCCAATTCTTTCTTTATTTCCATTCTTTAATTAAAACTTTCCGAATGTATTATTTTTAGGTCCGGCCCCTTTTTTTTACTATTTTCCGAAGACTCATTCTATTTGAATTGAACAGGTTTATCTAGTCTTCTGATTCGTTTGTGCATTGTTTATATTTTGTTTTATTAATCATTAATGGCTTTGTGCAACATTTCGGTAATTGAATTTCATGTTTATTCCTAGTACTAGGATACTTTTTCCGTGACAGGGTTTCTTCCGTATAAAAGGGCCGAATTTTGAATTTTTAAATTTTTGAATTTTAGCCTTTTGAATGTTATTAAAATTTTTAAAATAATTTCTTCGATCTATTTTTCGTCATAACCTTTCTTTAACGCTTCTTTGATTCTAAGGGTATATTTTTCGTCATAGCCTTCCTTGAGCGCTTCTTTAATTATAAAAGTATATTTTTTAGTTAAGTCTTCCTTGAACACTTCGTTGATTTTAAAAGTATAATTTTCTTCGTAGCCTTTCTTGAACGCTTCTGCATTCTAACAGTATAGTTTTAGTCCTAACCTTTCTTGATCTCTTGTCCCTTATCATTAGTTATTCTAAAGGTACAGTTTTACTTTATTTGCTTTTTATCTCCGGAATTTTACGTCTAGTCTTCTTCAATTATTAATTATATAGTGCCTTTCGGTGGTGATAGTATTTACTCTTCCTTTCGTTCAGTGGCTATGGTGTTAATTGTTTCCTTTCGTATTTATCCTTGTTTTCACAGGTAATGTTTTTCTTATCACGTATCCTGTTTCTTCCACTTTAAAATAGTATATATCTTAACTTCAGCTATTCGGCTGAAAAACTTAATTCCAATAATATATATGTTTATACAGGTTCGTGACTATAACTCTTCAGCAAAGGATATGAGAATCCATTTGCAAATTATAGTCCTGTTCTCGTCACCAAATGCAAGCGAATAAATTCCAGTTACCAACTCATGACGTGTCCAATAAATATATGTAAAAAAAAATATAAAGCATAAAACCCAATAATTATGAAGTTTATCCGTTTCTGCACACAGCTCAGGAGCTTCTCAAAATACTCTATTGCGCAATTTCTACTTAGTGCTAATGCTAAGCACCACTAGCGCACAGCCTAAGATGATAAATAAAAACAGAATATATAGTGCGAATCATCTAAAGACATCATGTGCTGCGCCATTTACCGAAAAAATTTTATGCCGATCTTGCTTTATAAAGAATATATACACGATTCAAAAGAAAATTTATTTGAAGAGAATGAATTAATATTTACTCATTTATTCATCAAGTAATAATTATCAATTTTAAAAATTTTCTTAAAAAATAACCTCATTCTGTAAAGGTATGTTTTCGTTTTAAAAAAAATGCAACATTTTTGAAGGCAAAGCTCTCTGCGGGAGTGCGAGATTTTTTAATAATAATGAACCTATTTTTGATCTTATTAAAACACCTATAGCATTTCCATTTTTACATAACTTAGAGATCAGATAAGTGTTTATATATCGGGCTGATAAGATGTAAAAGGTATCAGCGAATCGTGATTTTAAAATCAATATTAAACAATGTTGTTACATATTAACTCTATATAAATTCTGAATATAATGTTAATAGAAATTAGAGCTTTCTTTTAATGTAATATCATTAAATTCAGACAAGTATTCAGTAAATTACAGAAACATATAGTAATAGGTAAATATTATGATGATTATGTTTTTTGAAATTATGTGGTGAAAAACACTTCCATGACGTTTTATTTTTACATGATTTAGAGATCAGACGAGTGTCAATACAAGTTAATTCATCTCGATTGGTTGATATATGCTCAGATATAGAAGAAATAGACCCATAAGATGTAAAAAATGTCAACAAAGCACAGCTTTATTAAAAAACTTTGTCACATATTGACTATATATAATTTTTAAATGTGACGTTAACAGAAATCTAAGCTTTCTTTTGAGTCTAAGATCATTAAATTCGGTCAGATATTCAGAGAGTTACAAAAATATAGGTAAAAAACTATTTTTTTGAAATTACATAGAATCTATTAAAAGATTTATTTATATGGATGGTGGTTTTATTTTTACATGATCTATAGATCAAATTGGTGTTGATCCAAGTTGTTTTATATCAATAGGTTAGATGTTTAATGAGTTAAGAGTTGAAATTATATTTATTTATTTTTTATTAAGATTAAACATTGAGAATTATTGAAAATTTAAAAAAATTGATTTTTGACTTTATAACAAATATAAAAATAAACACGGAATTAAGTTTGGTGCAAGTCAAATCACTCAGTAACTATTTCCATACTAGTACTTCCATCATTATTTTCGTCTTTATCGATTGTTTCAAAATTTATTAATAAAAAATTTATTTAATAAAAAAAATAGATTTTACCTTTGCTCAAAAATATATTTAACACATTTAATTTCAGGAGTAAATGCTACAAAAGTTGAATCATCTATTGCAACCTCGCTCCAGTTTGTTCCAACTCTGATAAAATACCTACATATACAAAATATTTACAACACATCCACCGATTTGCGCAACATTTTGGGATACGAAAATTTGGGAACAAAATTATGGGGATCATATTTTTAATATTATTATTTTTACAAGTGAATTAAATTAATGATAATAAATAAACATTTCTTCCTCTACTTATTAATTAACCTGATGTTTTTTCACTTAGTCAAAAGTGACTTATTTTTGTAATGATTTTTTAGGTCAATCATAATAAATAAAATGTCCCATAGTGGCAATAAAGACATCACAAAATGTTGCCAGTCTTTATCTCAAAATCCTATATATTGATAATTAATTTAAGATATCTTCGCATCATTATGCTCTGTATCACAAATTATGCCCCGCGTCATGTAGTATGCTTCGCGTCATGAAATATTCTGCATCACGAATTATGCCTCACATCACGGATTATTGAAGACTCTAGCTTTCATATGATTATTACTTGTGGCATTGGTTAATAATATTATATGTCAAAATTTTCTTAAGACAGACAATTATCAAAAACATGTACTTTTCTCGAAGAACCATCCATGTAAATATACTTTTTCTTGCTTTAACCACATAAAGCACTTGGCTATATATATTCAGGATAGTTCACTTCACATACTATCTAAATTATCGCCTAGAAAAAATGATATTGAAAAATTTTTGTATGTGCTGCACTATATTTTTTTAAAAAAAAATATATCAAAAATATTATATATATATATACCAACAATGTACAATAGTTATGTACCAAAAGCTTTATTCATATTAATAATAACAAAACTTTTCCTAATTTAATTGAATGATATTTGTCAAAAAATTGCTAACCAAAAAAAAAAAGAAACAAAAACAATGCTTATTTGTAAAAAATTATTACAAGTAATAATAATGGTTTAATAATTTCTTGATCCATATTTCATATCCACCAATTGTGCACCATTTTGGAATACAAGATTAATTATGTATCAAAAGAAAATAATATTAATATAAAGTTTTTTTTTGGGAAAAAGATATTATATTTTTTTAATACTTCAATGTTTTCATAAAATGTTGTTGATGAACACCATCTGCCAATAGCATTTTGTTCAGTAGTTTCAACAAGGTTCATGAAGTTTGTATTTTGCTAAGTTTTCCCCCATGTTTTTTTTTTTTTTACCATATTTATCCAATAATAAAAAATATATAAATCATTATAGAACAACTACCTTTTGAAATTCCATGTATAGTATCATTATCATATTACATATTAATGTTTCATATAATAAATCAAATGGATTAATTAGTCGAAGAATCTCTTATAAATGGTAAAATTTATATATTAATAAATTTGAAATTCTTTTGACATCCATGTGTACATATTAATGTTTCATATAATGAATTGAGTAAAAAGTGTATATAGTTAATCATGTCCTTGCTACATGGAATAATGAATGATCTTTTCCCAGATTAAACTGCCTTTTGTTCTATAGGATTTATTGCATCTAATACAATCTTTGAATGATTATTATCATCACTGTTGTGATTATTGTTGTTGCCATTATTAGTTGTTGTTCTGTTTCTAAAATTCATGTTTATTTTTAAAAATTTCAAAGTGCTATTATATATATATATAGGTTATAAAATATATAAATCTAGGGGGTTAAGGGGTTACAAAAAAGCAATTGGCAGTAGAATCTCAACGAACATTAACAAAGAGTTTTTTATATCTTTTTGGTTAACAAATCGAAAAATGTGCCTTAAAAACTCCCCTCCTTTTAAAATAATCAAAATTTGTTCAGCTTTTCGAATATCATAATTATCATCACCATTATGGAAATTGTCAAAATCCTTACTATTTTCTAATACTACCAACAATTACATCTTTAAAATAATTAAAGACTAATCAATCGTATTGATTTATCAAAGAATTATTTTTAACTAAAATACTTACTTCCATCATTGACATTCTCAACAATAAAAATGCATGCCTTTCGCCTGGATCTTAACTCTCTCCGCAACTTTATCCTTTAAGATTTTAGTTATTCAAATCGTAAAAATTCTGAATGTGCATATATTAATATTAATTGAATATGATTTACACTTATAAAGTGGTCGTGGATGGTGTAAAATTCAGAAAATAGCGTCGATCTTTAAATTATCAGATATAACTGATATTAATATTTAATCATTGAATGATCTTACGTTTATTGAAATTTCAATTGCTTAGCCAAAAACGTTCTAGTCTAATCTTTGAATAGTTCACAACAAACTTTATAGAACACACCTTAATATTCATAATGTTTTTTGCTTACTTCCACTGCTATATAGTCGCAAGAAAATCTTCAACGAAAGCAATACTTTCAACTGTTGTAGAATAACTAAAAGTTAAGTTGCTTCTTGTTTTAACGGTCGTTTGAAAGTATTTTTTTGGGGAAGTTCTTTGCTTAGTAATGATATGCGATCTCCATCGACTAAATATGTAAATAAATAATAAATAAATAAAACAAATAAATAAATAATAAACAAATAAGACTGTAAATGATAATAAAAAAAAAAGATATTAGATAGGTATAGATAGATATAAATTAAACTTGCCCCATAGTCTTCTTTTTCTTTTTTAAAAAAGTTAAAAATTTTAAAATTTATACACGTAAAGGAAAGAAAGAGAAATAAACAATTATGGAGGGCAAGGATATTTTTAAAATACTTCTTGAAATCTCAATGGTGATTGGCCCTGTCTTGGGATATTTTGATCAAATAGCAAAATTTAGAGCTCGCAAATCTAGCCTTGGATATTCCTTAGATACTACAGGTGTTTTATTAGTTTGCAAGTAAGAAATATTTTATTAAGAATGTTAATGATAAATAATTTAATGGATATGGTAATATATAAAATAATAATAATAAATATTTTTTCTTCTTGTAGCATTGTTCGAATATTTTTTTGGTAAATCTATATAAAAAATTAAATATATTAGATTTAATTTATTATGCTGCTGAAGTCGATTTTTGATATATATATATATGTATATATGATGAATTTATTTTTTAGGCTTGGTAAAAAATTTGATATAGTATTATTGTATCAAAGTATTTTAATGATTATTGTTCAACTCATTCTTTTACATCAATGCTTGTTATATCAATATCCAATTCCACCAACATCGAATCGAAGATGGTTTTGGAATTGGTATCAGTACAGATCATATATAATATTTTTATTATCATTAACCGGAATTTTAGGGATTTTTTATTTTTTATTTGATAAAGATGGTGTATTCATAGAAATATTGGGATATTTGGTAAATGAATTCCTATTTTTATTTCTTCCTTTTCTTCTTTATTATTTGTTTTTAATTAATAATTTCAACTGTTCTAAACATAATTTTAGTCACTTGGCATTGAAAGCACAGTTCCAATGCCTCAAGCATTAGTAAATTTTAAATACAAATCTGTCTCGGGATTCAGGTAAAAACTCGAACTTTTTATAAATTATATATCAACAACCACTTAATCTTTGTAATTACTTTTTATCAACATCAAATCAAATATCAAATCACATTTAATTAATTTTAGTCGCTGGATTCTTGTAACCTGGTTTATTGGAGATTCATTTAAAACATTCTATTATATTTTTACAACAGCACCTATTCAATTCATTATTTGCGGCATTATACAATTATCAGTTGATGGCGTAATAGTGTTACAATTCGTAATTTATGGAAATAATAGAATTAATGAATTAATATTTGGTCAAAATAATAACAATTACGGCTATTCAAGATTAGCAGACGATCGTCGCACTCTAAGTTATAATTCATTAGATGAAATAATTTAAGGTGAAAAATTGGAGGGAAAAAAAGACTATGGGACATTAACAATGTATCAATCGTGCATTAATCGAATATATTTGAAAAATGAAATAAAATCATTCAATTTTGGAATCACAAACTGTTAATTTATTAATGATTAAAAAAAAGAAAATCTTTTTTTTAAAAAATATGCAAGATTTATTTATAAAAAATATTAAACAATTCAAATCTCATTACCAACTAAATAATTCTGCTAACAAATTTTAATCAACAAATTAATCCCAATTCCTAAATTGATGATAAAAATGTGCGTGGAGTGAAGTGAATGAGTGAATGAGTGAATGAGTGAGAAAAGGAAGAAAAAGGGTAAAATCTGTAATTTTTAGAATTAAAAAAAAATATATATTAATATTATTGTTTTCAAGTATGAAAGCAAATACGTCTAAAAACCGTAATACTTACAATGAAACTTATCATTAAATGAATAATGAGAATTAATTTTATGATCTAGCCTCATTATTATTTATTTGGTTTTATTTAAAAAATAATAATAATAATACAATTACTAATAAAATTAATTATTAATACTAATATTATGATTCATCTTTTCTAAATCTTCCTTTTTTATGAGAAGGCTCATATAAAGAAGAGTCCAAAGTAATTTGTCTTCCTAAAAAATTTATTTCCCCATTATTATGATTATATCTTCTTTTCAATGAATCATTGCTATTTAAAAAACTAACACTATCATCTTGACTTGGCACCAATCTATCTATTTCATGTTGAATATTTTGATTATTATTATCAGTAGTGTTTGATAAAGGAACTGGAAAATTGAAATTATTTTGGATGCCTTCAAATATTTGTTGATTTGAAATTTGAAATTGGGATTCTGTTGATTGATTATTTTGCTGTGAAGTTGTTAATGGTTGTGATGGTTGTTGTTGTTGCTGCTGCTGCTGATGATGATGATGGTGATTTTGATTTTGATTTTGATTTTGATGAATGAATTGTTGCTGTTGTTGTTGTTGACGAGCAGTTGAAGATTCGTCACGAGATCTTCTTGATAAAGAAGAGAGTTGTTCTTTTTTGAGATGCATAAATTTTATCAAATCGTCAACCGATATGATAGCATCACGTCCGTCAGTTCCTAATTGTTGTCTTTGCTGAACATTTGGATGAGATTCGATAAACTCCAATAAATCTTTTAAACATTGTTCATATCCAATATTTTTTTGCTGAAAGGCTGTTTTATAAAGTTGTGTTACTGATTCCGCCGCCACTCGGAAAGAAGCATGTAAAACTTGTGATTCATCAAGAAATTCTGTTGAAAAGCCATTATTATCCATCTTTTTTAATTTATTCTTTTAATTAATATTTAATATTTATTTTTGAAAGTCTTTTAAATAATAATATATATAAATCTAATTGCGTAATATGTACCTCCAAAAATAATATATATAAATATATATATATATACACACAGTATATGAGGAAAATAATTTAGATTGTTGATTCTAAAGAAATCAGGAAATCACAATATAAACAAAGTTTTCCCCCCTCACCAGATTCTCTCGACTTTTTATATGCCAACGACTTCTTCAAGTTGGAATGTGACCAAGGAAAAATATATTTAACAATAAAGAAACAATTGTTTATTAATTTAGCTATATGAATGTATTGTTGGTTAATTAATTGTCGTTTGATAAAAAAAATTTTCAAAAGGAGGGAAATTTTAAAATTATAAATTGAATGACAACAATTTCATCTATATAAACTTTTCATCATCACCTACCCTAATAACAATCATATTTGGTAATATATGTGTGATAATGTGATCTAATGTGATAAAAGGAAATAAGAAAATCTATTCTTGTAGTGTAAAAGAAAGGGAATGTGTGTGTTTGATTTGTACGTATATATATCACTGTATTAAATACACTAAATTGCACACGAATACCAAAATCAAGTGATTTTTAAAAATAACCTCTGTGGTACAAAGTGGAAATTTTGTTCACTAATTGTGGCATATTGAATTACAACATATGAAAATCGAATTGTGGCTAATTGTGGTTTCCATCTTTAGTATTATCACAGCCTTTCTCTTTGATATTGCTTTTATGTTTTATATTTGTTAAGAAGCATTGTTATTTTTTTTTGTGATTTTATTACAAAACATTTATCCAAGATCCCAAAAATTACACCACATCTTGAAAAAAGAACAAGGAGAAGATTACCCCCTGTGTTTTAAAATCAAGTGATGATGCATAAATGCTTAATGATTATCCA